AGCCCGATTCGTAACCACTACGCTACCAGAGCTCCTTATAACTCACAATAAAACATAAAAAAAAACAACAACTAAAAACTCTCCCTTAATACCATATCCTCTTCCAATTCTTAAATTCTTCTCCTCTTCATAGTCAAATTTCTCAGAATTCTCTCAATTTCCATACCATTCTTTGATCTATTGTAATTACAGTTCCATTTTTAACATTCTAATAAAACTTTTCTTAGAATATCAATGACCTCCTTACTGCTAAATTCCAAAGGATGATTTTTTTAGTCTTATTTTACTTGTACTTTTAGTAATCAGGTACAGTTAACCACACTCTATATTAAAAACAATCATTTCCCCTGACTGCTGGGTTACTGTGTGCCCTTGTTTTCTCCTTGGCCCTCTGGTCTTTCCTTTTTAGTTTCTTTTGCAGAACAAAATATTGTAGCTGCTCAGAGTTACCTTCTTATTATACATACTTCCCTCAATAAATCTCACTCATTCTTAGAGCTTCATTAACCATACCTATTAGCCAGTAGTTTTAATATTTATACATCCAGGCAATACTTCTATTCTGACCTTCAGATCTACATATTCAAATGTCTAATACACAGATTCACCTAAATAGTTTCAGAGGCATATCCAAAATGGAACCAATCATTTTCTCATCTTCTAATCTGCCCCTCTTCAATGGTTCTTAATTTCATTAAACACTTGTTCATCAAATATATCTTGATGCCATAAATCAATCACCAGGTCCTAAGTTTTTTTGCTACTTAAATATCCTTGGAATACATCCATGTCTCTTCTCCAATGCTACTACTACTCTAAATCAGCAATCAAACAGTCTCCTAACTGGTCTCTTGTCATTCATTCATGATCCCTTCCAATCTTTTTACTCTGTGCAAATTTGCTGTCAGTCCGTTGCCTAGTGTTATCTGTCACCTATTGCCTTTAGGTTTAGGCTTGCTATCCTAGTGCAAACATGAAAAACACCCCCTTTCACTCTTAACATGTCTTGGTTTAGGTGAAAAAATTGTCAGGGTTGGCCAATTCAAAGTTATAAAGCCCTTTCATTATTTGAGCCTTCTCTGGCACCTTTTTTTCACTCCAGACATACTAACCTTTTTTCCAGTTTCTTATCCTAGAGCCATACACTGTTTTAACTCAGAACTTTTGCTCATGATATTCTCTCTGCCTGGGTAGTTCTTGTACTCTTTTTTTCTAAGTACCCCTTATTCAGTTGTAGTTTCAGCTTAAACACACCTTCCTCAACACCACAGAGAAATGTAGCCCTACTGTACTAGATCTCTTCAACATCTTATATTTTCCTTTTATAAAACTCATTATATACTTAAAGTCTGTCATCCCCACTAGTCTCAAATCTTCATGAGGAAGAGGATTATTTGGATCTTTTTAACTGCTCCTCAACATAGAGAAAACAATAATCCTCACCACTGGACCAACAAATAACATCCATATAAATGGAGAAAAGACTGAAGTTGTCAAAGACGTTATTTTGCTTAGATCAACCATCAATACTCATGGAACCAGCAGTCAAGAAATCAAATGATATATTGCATTAGGCAATACTGCTGCACAAGAACCTCTTTAAAGTGTTGATGAGCAAAGATGTCAGCTTGAGAACTAACTTACATCTGACCCAAGCCATGGTATTTTCAATAACGCAATATGCACGCGAAAGTTGGACAGAGAATAAGGAAGACTGTAGAAGAATTAGCACATTTAAGTTATGTTGTTGGAGGAGTACATTAAAAGCACCATGGACTGCCAAAAGAACAAATAGATCTGTGCTGGAAGAAGTACAATCAGAACACTCTCTGAAAGCCAAGATGGCCAGACTTCGTCTCTTATATTTCGGACTTATTGTCAAG